CATGTAAGAATAATAACAGCATGAGTGTGCAAGACAAGTCATCATAGTCATCATCTACAGAATAGGAAGCATGCATCAATGGGTATGTGCACCAGTATTATCTGCTTACCTTTAAAGAAGACGAACCTGCCATCATGTCTCTCATATGCAGCATCAATGTCGCCAGGGAGACCCCTCCAAAAGTGACCGATTGGCATGGGGTAGTTATCCAGAACCCTGTTCCTACGCACACGCCAGAACCAGCGGCCCTGAGGGGACACAGTACAAAAGTTTGGCTTAGTTTCTTATCTTTTCAGTTAGTTTTAAGAACTCGCTCCTAGCTGAGACTCAATAAAATACAATGACAGCGAAGTAAATCGATGACGGGAGTGCAGGAGGGGAAGAGCTTCATATCACATCCTTAGCTTTAAAAACAATTGCATTCAGAGAACGTGCAAAAAGACGCAATAAGATATATTTTCTCAAGTCATCCATGCAGTCACCCCAGCTGAGGTCACGTACACTGTTGCTTTTTTGTCCTCTATGCCAAGCAAACTGAGCTCTGCAGGATAATTAGATCAGAATGTACAATAAACTAGCAAAAGCAGAACACTAGCAGGCTAATAATAGTCAGTCTCTGCTCTGCTGGTTTTATCATGTTCCCTCACTGCAGTCTCTCTGTTGATCAGTCTGCCATGAGATAGCAATTTAATAAAGAACTGTGGTGTTTGTTTGTGACGTCAGTGACACAAAACAAAGGAAAAGAAAATGCATATTTTTACCCTTCATGACACTTTGGTTAGTGAACATGCAGTAGATACTACTGCAAACAAGCAGCAGACAGAGTTTAACCAGCAGCCCCTCGACTCATTCATAACTGGTGAGTCAGTAGCCCTGCTTGTCCTGGATGCTATAACAGTAAAATGCTGGGTGCTGCTTCTTTCTGGCAAGCACTGCTAGTTTTGTCCTTCATGCAGGACACACTCGCAGACAGCACGGCGCGGCACAGGACAGAACACACTGGAGATGTGTTGCTGAGTGAGACAGAACAGGGCTGAATCCAACTGGATGCTCATCCGTTTGTCTGGTCGGACAGCTCCTTTCCTACCGAATTAACCATATTAGAGCAGATCTCAGTGTGGGAGTTTCATTACTGAGAACTGCTCGGTGTGCTGGCTCTCTTTATGTCGAGACCTTCTGCTGTGAAGTGGACAAAAGAAAGAAACTTTTCCTGAAGAATGACAGCACCTTTTTTTCCTTTAATGAACAGGACTCCATAGAGGAAAGAGTGGAACTGGTGTGCTCCAAATGACTCCTACTCATTCAGGGAGCAATTTTGTCTGTGCAGAATAATAGCAGAGAAAACCGATGTCATATCATTTCTTTGAATTTGGACGAAAGCTGACCGACAGACCAATGTTTCCACGCATAAAGCCACACTGTCCTCGGCTAAAAATGAAGAAATAAAGACGACTGTATTATAATATTACAACCTTGCAATTAACTTTCAGGCCAAGCTGGGGAGGAGTGATAGAGAGAAATTTGAATAAATGATAATTACAGCTCAAAATCAACAAACCTTGATATAACCACATGAATAAATCTAACCAGTGAATATATATTTATTGCCTGCATTTGCTCTGATCAGGTAATTTCTATTTTTGAAGCTCATTAAGAACTGGTTAAATTTGGACAATGAATAATAATGTCTCATGACTTTAATGAAACCCATGAAGACAGACATTAACGTCTGCGATGAAACCCAAGAGTACAAATATAACTGCTTGACCGTGTGTAGCATATGTCCAGGCAGTCAGATTTCAGAGTGTGTAATGACTGGTCAGTGTCACACACACTTAAGAGTCTAAGACAGGAGCTATTCATAGACTGATCTGAGTATTTGGGGAGAGATGGGGGTGCAGTGGTCTGCTGTGTGGACTACAAAGCAAATGAAAGATCCCACAAGCAAGAAATATTCACATCTGTGTGTTTTTTCAGCTCTGCAAACACCCCAGATCAAGTTTGCTATCTACAGCTGCTGTGAGCCCTAATGCTTCAGTTCAATGTCAGACGTCAAAACAGCAGAGCAACATTTCTGGAGGTGAAACTGAGGCTTCTTTAAAGTAAAGCCTGCATGTCCCCTGCCCCGCTCAGTATAATATCTGCAGCTCTCTTCACTAGTCAATGCTATCAACACTGGACACCTTTTCTGGCCTCTCCCATGGAAACACGTAATTACTTATCTTTGCAGAGCTGCACTATGTATAAACCAACGCCAGAAGAAAGAAGATCTGAAATGCATGGGAGAAAATGGAGCTCTACTTGCTGCTGAAAGTTCAATAAATTCAATTGAACACACAGCACCTGCACAGTGAAAAAGTACTGAAAATGTTGATTAAATAATATCAAAATACCTATATAATAAATAATGAGAGAGGAGCTGCAGCCAATAACACGATCAGTTTAAATACTAGCATCTACAAGACAAATCTCATAAAGGTTAAGACTCAGTTAATATGTAACTGCTGCCGCAGCTAATGTTTTGTGTGGGCCCAGAGGCTCTTTAAACACCTGACTAACCCTCAAACCCTTTTAACTGTTCTCAGTCTCATAAAAGAACACCAGCTCTGTGGGTTTACAATCCACAAGCACCTGATTGAAAACAGACCCCTTGTTGGCTGCGTACACGCCATTTGTCGTAACTCGCTTCTCAGGAAAATAATAACTAATATACTGGTGGAGTTGTCATGAAAGCTCCTTTCCTGGAAGAGGACTTAATTTCCAAGGAAGGTCCTACTTGGAAATAAACTCATGGTGGCAGAACTTTTCCATGTATTGCTTAATGAAGCACAGCTGCTGTGATTTGGTGTTATATGCATAAAATTGAATTGAATTGAATTTAATGTTCACAACTTTACAAAGACTCTCAATTTCTTAATCCGCAAACCATTTACCTTGAAGACAAACATCTCTCCTCGGAGCATAGCAACAGTGTCAAAGTTCCCCTCACAGATATTGGGTCCATAATGATCTGGCCTTTCGGTGGTCCTGGGCCTATCAGGTTGCCGAGGAGGTGTTTGAGGTGGTCTGGGGTCTGGGCGACGTGGTGCCACTGTAGGCAAGGCCTGGGTGGGACTGCTGTCAGGAGGACCTTCAGGAAGTCACAGACACAATACTTTAAACTGAGTGGATAACTGGTTACAATTTAATATCAAGAATAAGATTTCATGTCTGCATCATTTAAAAGATACGTGTGAGGATTAAAAATAAACTCCTACCATAGATCTGTTGTATCCCCCGCCGGTCATCCTCTGGCAACTGGAAGTTCTCCGTTTCCATCCACTGGTAGAAGGGAGCCATGATGGCAAGAGGATTGTTGGAATGCTCTAAGCCCAGGGCGTGTCCCAGCTCGTGGACTGCTACCAGGAAGAGGTCATTACCTGTATGAATGAGAGATAGGTTAGAATAAAAGAGGAGAAAGGCAAACAAATAAAGGGCTCACAAAAGCTAACCGAGTTCAAGTTGCACTGCAGTACAAAATGCAAGATGGAAACCCCCAACAAAGTAAACCACACCCAGTGCTTGCTTAGTGGGTTCAATCCAGTCTTAAAGTTTCCACAATCTCTATCCCTCAACATAGAGAGATTTTTATAGGCAGAGGATTTAACAAATTGGTAACATCAGACACAATAGACTTTAACATACAGATCTTCCTATTGTGAAGATTATATTTCTTGTCATGAAGAACAAAGATGTCTGGATCTTTAGTTTCTTGGATTATGTGGATGTATCAAGATTCTTAAATTCACAGAACGCTCAGTTTGCTTGGGGCGTAGGTGTTGTAGAGTTCAGTCATTGTTAGAGTCCTGAAAATGTTGTCATCAAAGTGTAAACGCAAAACACTCTTTACAGAGTTCTGTGTTGTAAACCCAGCTTGTCTCCACAGTCACTACACTTCAGT